GAAGGGCGTGTTTGAAATAATCTCAGGAGGTGGAGCTTGAAGAGAGTCTCCCCTAGAAACTCATCCTTTCTTGGCGGAGGGCAGGGTTATGCCAAAATTCCCGTGGGAATTGATGCTCAGTTAGCTCAACTCCTTTGTGCTTGGCTTTGGTCCCTTCCTTGAAGGCTGTCCTCACATTTAACCTCACCATGTTTTATGCAATCCAATTAAGCATTGCTCCAACAGGGAAAATCTCTGGGCATGCACACAACTGATTGAGGGCCTGGAGGGTAATTTTGTATAATTATTGAGATGCTTAGGAGGGGTAAGTATTGGTTAATAGGAGCCTCACAGTTTTGCATTTGAACCCCAGATCCACCACTTTGCAACTAATGGTTTGGCCTCTGGGAAGTTACTTAACTTTTCACACTTGCAGTTCGCCCATTTCTAAAGTGGGAATAATACTCTACCTCAAACATTTATTTCAAGTATTAAATGCTGTAACAGATGTAAAAGACACTATGGTGCCAAGCAGCCCATAGTGGGAGCTAACTATGATTATTAGTTGCTGTAACTGTAACTAAAATTACTATTCTATTTTAAATGGACATGCTTCTTGAAAATGTCTGAACTCTGCAAAAAAAAAAAATCCATTCATTAAAAACATCTTAATTAGGAAAGCATTAGTCTCTCTCTTTTTCTCTCCCTCTCTCTCTGTATATAAATATATATATATATTTTCAGATAAACTAACCAATTTAACAATAAAAAATAATTTATTATATCCTCCGAATTGTTGGTTTCTTAGCTTCTTGTTGGTAGTATCCTCATTTCCATAATCCAGCCTCAAAGAATTCCACCCAGCTAGTGAGGCAAGTTATTCCTTTCCCCAAACCACACGGGTGCCTCTAAAGCGTCCTCGCTCTTCCTCTGTTTGATTTCTTAAAATAGTTCCTGAGGTTTTTAACCACAACTGAATCAAAACTAACCAGCCTGTAATTTCCTGGTCTGTCCCTATGGCCTTTCTTTTAAAACAAAACACGAAAAAAAAAAAAAAGAAAAGAAAGAAAAGAAAGAAAAGAAAAGGCATTACGTTGGCTGGTTTCCAGTCTTTCGGGTTCGACTGGAGCGAGCTGGAAAACCGGTGAAAGCGTGTCCAGTTTCAGCTCGTCCCTTCGTGGGAGGAGACTGGGTGATCTGTAGCTTCAGGACGAGGTCTTCTCAAATTTAAGCACTTTTGATTTTAAGTTGTTTTCAGGAATATTTACCCAGAGCATCTCTTCATAGTGCTTTACTGCCGATCCCCCTTCTTTTCAATTCCAGCACATCAGGAAATAAGGCAACGCGCCCTCAGCATGAAAGGTAGAAAAAGAACGGCCGGCTCTCTCCGTGCCTCTCAAAACACAGCGGAAAATAGGGATTCATTTCGGAACTCACAACGCGAACGCTGTTTCCGCTTTGGTTTAGCCAGTACATACGCAAATTAAAAAGCACAACTGGAATACGTGTATCTGTTTAGATCTTTTCCTAAAGCTCATGCAGTTGTTCGGGATTCAACGCAGGCATATGAGATTTAATTTGATTGATTATTTAAATGGTTAAGTTTTTTCTTCAACCGTAGCCATTTTTTGTCTTTATTTTCAGTGATCAAATATTTTCTTCAAATTTTCAATAGAATTTAAATAATTTAGCTCACAATTAGTTGTTTTGGTTTTTAATAAATGGTCATCCATCATATATAATTATCACCAGCAATATTGATAACATCTAACAATAGATAACAATAATAATATATGCTATAGATGTTTGGCTTAAATAAAATAGAAACATAATATTTAAAAGTGACCAAGTTAAAATATGGATTGGAAATTATTTATTTAAAAATTATAATGAATATTACAGGAAGACGTGCTCTAAATACTATAAAGTTTCAATAAATATTTGTTGAATGAATGGACAATTTGTTGAATAATGACAGCATTTCTTTCTGATATAAATACAGAAAAAATGTTGATATAATGTTGATGTGCACAGAAAATTTCATTTCAAACATAATAACTCTTTTTTTCTTAACATAATAACTCTTGTTCAAATTTTAAGATAACAATAAAATCTAACTTTTGGTGACTGACTGTGGGAGAATCCTATTCAGAAGTTCTGAAATGCAAAATGCATTTATAGAAACGGAGTACATTTTCTCATGATATATACATATATACACAGATATATATATGTATATTTGAAAGTATTCAACAAAGTATTTAAAAATATACAACTGTTTTCAAATAGATTCAACTTACTTGCAATTCGTGGCAGGGATTAGCAGCCTAGAAATTCACATGCATTTAAAACTTACTTTATAAAAATATCTTTCCTTGTATAATTATTTATAACATTAGCTAGTCGGCAAATTTTCTTCATGTACAAAGCAAAACAGTTTTAAGAATAGCTCAGCTCATATATTGTAAACCATTAAAATCAGTAGAGTCCAAAATAAGTTTTTTGCTGAATTTGGCCATCGAAATTCTTCTAGCTATCATTCCTTTTAAGAAAAGTCCTGATTGATTCAAACAGGATTACCTACAGAGAAATATACCACATTTGTTCCAGTGAGGAAAAAAGAGAGGAATTTAATAAAATTAGTTATTTTCACTCACAACTCCTCCCTAATTGTTTCTATAATTTTGCTATATATACTTTATAAGCATTCATTTTAAAAGTTTCATTTCCAAAAAATTGAGCATGAAGTATATACTTTGGGAGTTGTCTAGATGTCAGCAATAAATTAGGAAAACTTGAAGGAAAACATGTCTATCGGCTTCGTGTCGACGTTTAACATCTGCAGAGCCAGTCTCTCCCCTTGCAGGGATCTTGGAATCTCACCTTAGGTTCAGAAAAGAGGAAGGGATTGGATAAAGGACTTGCTATCTTTTTTTCCCCTTCCCATTTCCTAACCTAGATTATAGTCAGTTTTACATACTTTGTGTTACTTATTTTGCTTTCTGCCAAACTCGCTGACTGACACACATTAACCTTGATTGTTCCAACTGACCTCTGGGCAGTGTTGTTGAAATGAACATATATTATCTCACTCCTCAAACAAGTCCCTTAATCTTGCCATTACCAAATCCATTTTCTGAAAGGGACCCCATTCCAATCAGTTTTCATCAATGTATTTAGCACTTACTCATATGGTTGCAACTCGGAGACTTAGGGTTGGTGCTTTGGGAACCCAATCTAATGAAGACATCATATTAGATTATGTAATTGTTGGCTCTTAATTGCTCAAGGAGTTTCCTTACTGCATCTATCAGGTGGGCTTTTAAAATTATGTTGAACATTTGAGAGTTGTACAGAATTCAAATTGAAATTGTATATATATGTATACGTACACACATAATTCATATATATGAGTTATATACATATGTGACTAGTTATATATGTATGTATACACAAGTGTGTATATATATACACATATATAATTCAATTCTAAATTCTTAACACTCTCAAATGTTAAACATAATTTATAATTAAGATTATCCCATATCTCCATTATATCATAACAATATTATGATAGTTCATATTTCAAAGAAATACTGTGCCAAATAATGCAGGAATATTTTGAAATTCTTGCTTGCTCAAACTTTTCCAGAGCTGTCTGGATATTCTATTTATTGTGTTCTATAATTTGTTGACTTAAATTTAAAACCTTCTCTGCTTCCTAAAAACAAGCACCACTCAAGAAAACAACACTCCTCCGTACAGTAGGTGCATTTGTAAGTGTCGTGGGAAGCAGAGAGCAAACAGAAGGTGCAAGGATTATTATAGGACTCACAGTCTAGTTTCTACAATCCAGATCTCCACATGTCACTGGAATTTTAAAAAGCAAGAAAAGAAGTTTCAAATTTTCCAATTTTCCTTCTGCCAAACCCTAACTTTTCCGGGTATTACTTATGGTATTACTTCTCCTGTAAAGGCTAGAAAGAGCGTGAGCAGCTGAAAAACGGTACCACTTACTGTGCCCATATGATTAGAATTTTCCAGAGGACAATATGAGGTGTCCCAGTCAGACAGTATATGGGGAAGTTCAGTAAGAACTATCAAGCCCTACAACGCAAATATAAGTTGTCATTATAACTTTTCCTCCTACGTTTATCCTGCCAAAAGACCAATTCAAGGATGGCATTATTAGGACATGTTCACTTTTCTCTTTTTTCTCCCATAAAATGCTTTTGCCTCTTTCACTAAGACCCTAAAAGAAGAGCCTACATATAGATCCATTTCACAGAGCCACCTGTGTGTGCTCACACACATGTTACACATGTACATACACAGCCACTTGGCTTTCTGAGGATACGTCAGCATAATTTGAAAAACAAGCAGAAAAGTAATTTATTTTGAGTAATGATAATCACAAATGGATTTGAAGTTGGCATCACTTTACTGAAAGCATTTTAAAATATTTTTCAGATGCAAATATGGAATTTGAGAAATGCACAGATTGATTTCCATTGGCAAGTGAAGCGAATGATCCACGTGTGAGGAAATGATCGTATGTGTGGCATGGGAGTCGGAATAATCGGTTGCTGCTAAAACATCCAGATTATCATGAAGGTGTAGATGAAGCCTGTGATTTTAATGAGCATTCCTACTGAATATCATATGCAACATTGTAAATAGCAAGCCCCTGGCACTGAAGGTTTTTATTCCATGATCTCTTTTTTTATATTTATTCTGACGCTCTGCCACTTGCCTCTTCTGCGGTTCCTCTCTTTGCTACTATTAAAACGACACATGTCTTGGTTATTGCAATTTTATACAAATAAGGAAAAGATTTGCAATGAATTTGTTGTTGAGAAATAGTATTTCCTCTAATAGATTTCAGGAAAGTTTGGGATTGCCCCCACGCTCTCCCCTGTAAATTGGAGGCAACAGCTAACGGTGCCAGGGGCCACTGGCTGACTGTACCCATTGCTCGCTCCCCTTCGGAAACCCGCCATCAGAAGACAAGACAACAGTACCTTCTTTTCGTTTTCCCGCCGCTGTTGGTCTTTGGTTTTAATCTGGAGAATCTGAAATTTTAAGAGTTTCCCTATCAGTGGTAAGGTTAACTTCTCTCCATTGTCCATAATTGCTTTTGCTGCCATTAGCACCTACAGAGAGACAAAGTATAAGAAAAGTGACATTTTAAAACCGTTGGTATGGTCTACCAGTGATGCAAAGATTAATATGGGTTTTGACATTTTGTTATAATAGCCAGTGTAAAGATGCCTCATTTCTGGTGAAAAAAAGAAATAAACAGAAAGAAGGGGGTGGGCATAGCACTATAGAGAGCGGCATTGACCCTTTGGATTAAGTTGGGTTCTGATTGATTACGTTTCCTCTAATAAGGCAGAAGGAGCTTTCCCTCAACAGTGTGAGACTCCAGCCCCCAAGAAGGGGTTGAGGAAATGTAGGCAGGGCTCCATTTCAGCACGATGGGCCAGGCAGCTTCGGGCTAGAGAAAAGTCTACGGCTTGGCACAGCCAACAGTTGAACCTGGCAGAGGCTGACGTCTGAAGGCATTATAAAGACGAGACGGGCTCACAGGGATGGTAGTCTTACACTGTGGTGCCCAAACACGAATGATAAAAAGCTGCTTCACTCGGAGGGGCCAGATGCATGTCTTCTGCTCCCCCACCGAAATTTCACATTGATTCTGCTGGTATGCTGCCTAATTGGGGTGAAATAAGGTTATTGAGTTTTCTTTGGGTGACGACAGCCACCAGGAACATACAGCTGTATTGTCCAGATGTGTGGCACTGACAGCCTGTTTTATGACTACGTTTTTTACAGCTTGTTTCCCCTAAATTTCACACAACCCTCTAACATCTGGGCCCATTTCCTTGGAGCCCTATAACCACTTTATTTACTGCAAAAAAAATAAAATCGCATAACATATACCATAAAAAGTTGTTATGCGCGTCTCTTTATTCAGGTTGTCTCCCTAATAAAAGTTCACCTACGCCGGAAGCACGAGCACGAGCATAATCTAGTCCGAGTATTTTTCGACTTTTGTTTTTACGCAAGCGTCAGAGTTATTTATAACCTTGGGATGAATGAGGTGTTACTAACATGTTCTGACAGGTTGCTTTTCTCCCCCCTTGGAGCAATTACTTGTTGGGGCGCATATGGTGTCCATTTCAGGCCCTCGCCCGCCTCCGACAATGACCTGCGCGCCGCATCTCACGGAGCTGTGTCTTGTCTGAAGTTCAGACCCGCTCTCGGTCAGGGCTTTCGTGACTGGCCCGGTTCTTTTTGACGTTGCACTTTGCCAGAGAAAAGTAGGTTGCTGTTTTGCTCCGAACTGCAGAAGGCCCTGTGGGTTCTTTTATGCCAAAATGTAACTGGAGCTCTGGGGGACCACACTGGGGTTTCCTGCATTGCAGTGAAGAAGAGGAAAACCTTTTAAAGCGGGTTTTCCCCAAAACCAAAGGAGCAGACTACGCATCAGAAAGCACGGCCTGTGTCTCAGAAAACGTCCTCCGTGAAACGTTGAGCTTTTCTTTTCCAGGGCAGGGCTACTTTTGCAAACATGATTTGGCGAGAGGGACACGATGGCTGTGGTTCTGGGAGCAAGAAGACAGAGAGGTCCATCTGCAGGACTTTACCTCCTCACGACGGCCAGACAAGACTGGCAGGATGTCTCAGGGGACTCCAGTCCATGCACTGACTGTACAACGAAAGCTGCCTCACTGCGCTCGCCCCCAGGGCAGATGTCAGTGCTCGGTTTGAAATGGCATTTTTCAATCCCAGTTAAACAATGTGCTGACAATGGGGCTGCTTTGTGACATCTGGTTCATAATATTCAATTCCCCCCCCCCCCCCCCCAAAGCTCACAGCAGCCTAGTATGGGGTGTTTCCCTGCAGTCCAAATATAATGGAAGTGCTGAAGGGACATTAACAGTGGAATGGGTTACTCAAGGGTGGGTGTGGGGTCTATTTTCCTGATGACCTGTGAAAACAGGATATTTACCTATGTCTGGGGTGGCTTGGGTGAAGCCTGCCTGGCATCATGGTGATGGATGGGATGTCTCTGGAGGTGAGTTCCAGCCCCATGTCTCTGTGAGATTATGAGTATTACCTCATTGTGTTAAAATGTACTCAAAATACAACAAAACTTCCCAAGAGAAAGGTATTTTTCTGGCCATAAAAGTTATTTCTCGTCCATCTGAAACTGTCCGTGAGGGTTGGGTTTCAATCAAAAATCTGGCGCAGCACCAAACAACAGCCATATCCTGCTATGAGGTGGGGCCGGGTTGGTCCAGAGGGAGGTGTGAGGGGCTTTGCTGGTAGGGCTGGACACGGGTTCTCCCGGCACGGAGACTCCGTGAGAGCACTGGCAGCCTGGAGGATGGTCTCGTAGCAGCTCCCCCGACTCTGTGCAGCTTCACGACAGCCCACACAGAAAGGTTCTGTGTCTGATGCTTACGGAGGAAGAACAGCAGTTCACATAGTGCCAGGGTGTACTTGTCTTCCATCAGGTGCTTAGAAGAAACTTAATTCCCATCAAAGCCACTTTCTTTCTTTCCTCCTCCAGAGGGAATATACTCAGAATACAACAAAACGTTCTAAGAGCAAGGTATTTGGCAGGTCATAAAAGTTATAGGAAACCTTGAGTTTATTGATGAACGTCTATGCTGAACTCAAAATCTGAGACTGAACTATGCAGGTTCCCCCAGGAAGAAGAATAACGAGGAGAATATCTTCAAATTGATTTACAGCGAGCAGTTTTTCTTCTCACACTCTGTCATTCAGATGTCTACCCAAGCAGTAGTCAATCATTTGATTTCAAATTGGAACGAAACAAAACAAACAAACAAACAAACCAAGAAACAGAAATAAAGAAACGAAAATAACCCTCAGAAGCTCTTTCTCTGAAGGATAAATCTTTTAGGCAGGTGGATAATACTTCACTGAAATTTCGGGGAGTATTTCCCCCTTGTGCCTTATTTATATTAACTGCAGTGATTATCAAACCTTCAAGCTTCTAGCATTTTTCAGGTAATTTGAGTAATCTTTATATTCAGTGCACATGTGTGCATGCATGCGCCCCCCCTTCTCTCTCTCTCTGTGTGTGCATGTGTGTGCAGCTGAAGGTATTGAGTAGGGGTGAAGTGAAGACAACATGAGAGCAGTTATTTGGTAGGTTCTGGGAAACAAAACCCTAAGTTTCCACAAAGTAGGCAGAAAAAGAGTTCTAGGTGATTAAAACCTGGGTATTCATCAAACCAAAATCCAAGTAAATGAGCCCAGCATGAGTCAAGAACAAACTAAGAAAAAAACGAGTCTTATGGGGAGATGAGACTAATTCAAAAGAGAAAAGAAAAAGAAAAAACTGCTGCTGGGTGGGGTCTGAAGTGTCTTCTTGGCCCACACAGGTCAGATCCCCAGGCAGTGGCTCTGGCAGGCCTGTTTGGAAGAGTTCTAGCCCACTTACCAGAGGTTCTAGGTTCTGGGCACATATGATAAAGCATTAAATTAAGTTTCATCATACAGTGGGGGCAGGGAATATGCTTATATTTTAGTATGTGAAGATCTCTATTGTGAGGGTATGCACGCTCTCTGTTAGGAGCTTTTGATTGTGAACACACTAGTAAGTAGAAACAGTTCTCTATTGCTGTTCAACATTTTACACCAATTATTACTTAGCTTTCAGAATTAAACAATTTGTTGAAAGAGCAAGGGAGAAAAATTGAAACAATGGAAGTCTGAATTAGTGAGCTTAAAAAGACAACCCCCTCAACACTAATCTGCGGGAGATATGATGATCAGATAGAAGAACAAAACATTGGAAGAAAGTCTAAGAATTATGTGAGACACCATCGAGAGGAATAATTTAGGGATGAATGGAATTCCATAACAGGAAGAAACAACCTAAACCACAGGGGAAATTGTCAGAGAGTTGTTTTAAGAAAACTCTCCTCACACCTTAAGATGAGAAGATAATATGCATTCAAAAAGCTAAAGGAGCCAAAACAAGATAGCACTTTTCAAAAGAAAAGTACGATGACATATCATAATAATAATAAAAAAGACAAGGTAAGAATCCTAAGGATAGCCTGAGAAAAATGAGAAGTTATAACAGAGAACCAACAGGATCAAGCTTTGACTTTTCTGCAGAAATAATGCAGGCAATTGTAGCTGTCAGATACAGTTCTGAAAAAAAAGAATGCTAACCAAGAATTAGAGACCCAGCAAAATTTTCCCTTGAATACAATGGTAAAAGTAGACCATTTCCAGGCAAACAGAAATTAAAGGGATTTGTAAAAACAACAACAAAAACAAACAAACAAAAAGCAGAGCAGCCTTTCAAGAAATATTAAGATGAGTTCCTGGGACATAAAGCCAAGAGTAGCCAGAGAGCCAGAATCTCAGAAACTGGAGATGAACAAGCATGGTAACACCACCCTGAAGTACCCAAAGTACACACAGGGATGACAATAGGGATTCAGAAATATCAATTTTTAATGATGACAATTACCAGATAAATAGAGGGAATAGCTGGAGCCCTGGTGGCATAATGGTTACACACTTTAGGGGCTGCAATCCACATGGACGACAATTAGAAACAACCACAGTTCCTTGGGAGAAAGACTCTGTGAAGAGTTACGGTCTCAGAAACCACGAGGGGTCTCCATGCATCAGCATGGACGGCAGTGAGTGAAAGTGTACTTACAGTACTTTCCAATGGAGAGGAAGTCACGTAGCTTTCAAGATAAAGCACACTGCCTTAAACTTGGTAATAAATTAAGGGAAACCTCAAAGAAAGCTAATAAGCCTCATCGAAACGAAAGAGAACACATAAAGCTCGATGAACTCGGAAAGACGAGCAATGAAGAAAGTGACAAGAAAACACACGCAAAGTTAATTCTTTACGGAAAGTCATGTGGAATAAAGAAACAGAAGCACCACAAAACACACACACAACAAAATGACAATAAATTTATACCTATCCATAATTTCATTAAAAGTTAATGGATTAAATGCACCAGTGAAGAGACAGAGAGTAGCAGAACGGATAAGGAAAAAAATTAATTTGATTAGGTCATTTAAAAACTCTGAACCAAAAAAGAGTCTGGGCCCTGTAGGCTACATTGGTGAATTCTCCCAA